CAAGGAGTAGGGTCGCCTGTCCAATCTCGTGGGTCTTCTCCGGGTCCTCCGGCTTCCTCCCATTGCTAAAGACCCTTAACCCTACATTATTGAATTATTGAAATAAAACTGAACTATATGTTAGTCTTGAAATTATCCGGTTTGGGTCGAATCGACGTTAAAACCCCAATCTGGTTCTTATATTTCACGTTAGTATAACAAACGTTTAAGGCAATTGAAGTGCATGGACAAGACACACACTACACACATGCAAGCAATAAACAACATAATATCAAATCTAGCGAACGGACCCGGGGACTGGTCGTTAGCGTCCATTGCGCTGTCCAGTCCCAGGAATGTAATCACACAAACCAAACTTAGCAATGATTTACAAGAAAGACACACTAGAAATAATGCGATCCGATGGTCGTCTCCTGAATGGCGTTTCAGTGTATATAAATTTGTGATTTTAACTTAGTAAAAAATTAATTTCCAAAAATCATTTTTCATTGATACGATCGCCTCGCAATCTAATTAAAATACAGATCTATATTTCGTTTCGTTTTGTTTTTTTTTACTTTCGATGGCCTACACTACATGAAGATCTGACCGGTTGTAGCGATAGGTCGCGTCAGAGGTCATACGAGCGGCTTTTAACCCTATGACGTCAGACATTTGATTAACCAATCAGCATTGATGTTACTAGTGGATTACCCAAAGTTCCGTGCAAAACACGCCTAATTAAAGCTCGCCGTAACAGACCGTTTCATTGGCTAATTCCTCACACCATTCAGAACACGTCAATGATAACAACTCTTCCAGATCCTAGTGTAGTAAAGAGAAGTAAAACGAAATTTTGAACTATAAAAACGAAACAAAATATGATCTGTGTTTTAATCAGATTGCTCGCCTCGGACAAAGTACTGTTATATCTCTACTATTTCCATAAACAGTGGATGCATGGTCGATGGTACTCTTTCTTCATCTTTGAAGATGTTTTCATTCTCCGTGGTCCGACTCACTTTAACAGCAGTGTCAATAGGCCTACTACAATGGCCTTTCTTTACACTTTAAATTAAAAACTTGTGAAAGGACTTTTGTAAGTTTTTAATAACCTTGTTCTAATCTAATTGTATCCAAATTTGTTTTTGTTGGTGCAATAAAATATATTTTAAACTTGTGAAAACCATATTTTGTCTCAGCCCTTGCAAGTAAAACACCCTTCACACTAAGGCGGTATATTAGATTAAAAATTATATTGTGCTATCGTCTAACTTCTATTCATGTGCTTTCTAATCTAAGACAATGTATAATCTAATCTTGCAATTTTTATTATTTTTCATGATATTTGTTCTCTTCATTGAAGCTTTACTTGTTTATAATGAACGTCGCATAAATTTTAAGAATTATTATACATCTAGCTTAGCAACCATCATTATGAACGTCGCATAAATTAAGAATTATTATACATCTAGCTTAGCAACCATCATTATGACGTCGCTTGGTGTCGCCACCCACTGCATGCACAATAATATCGCGCAATCACGGCTCAGGTATTGGCTTTACCTTACGGGGTCACGGTGGCTAAGTGGGTAAGACTCTGGCTCGCTAGCCTGGAGGTCGCGTGTTCGATCCCTGCATTGGCCGAGAAGGTTCAACGGGATTTTCCCCCTTGTTAGTGATGCAGGACGGAGGGCCTGACAAGGGCAGCTGTATAATCGTTCGGATGGGACGAAAAACAGAGGTCCCGTGTACAAATTGGCGTGCACGTAAATGATCCCTTGACAGTTGGAATTCGATAGCACACTGTATGGCATATGCCCGTCTTCATTAGCCCAGTTCGGAGCAGAACAGTAGGACGTTAAACCACATTTCATTTTCATGGCTTTACCTTGATATAAGCGGAGTTCTTTGGTTGACCAAATGTTAAAAATATATTGATATTGAGCGTGATTTTGACTTATAAAAATAATGCTGCTTTTTGGTACCAACAACCTGCTATTAACAATTATTCTGCTGGACTGGACACAGCTATTATAGTTACTTTTAAAAGCAAAATGCTAGATTGCGGATAGAATTAATGACAACGGACATAACCCATGCGCTACGGCCTGCTCTTATTTCGAATTCCAAATGTCGGCGGATCTTTAGCATGCTGAAGCAAGTGATATAGATTGGAGTCTCGGGTTTTGACAGGCTGGATGGGGATTATTCTGGTTGCATCAAAAACCAAATTTAACAAAAGACTGACGGGACTGGGAGGGCAACTTTGTGCCCCATTCCGTTACTTTTGTTTCTTTATACAGTATGTTTTTCTCATTAAATTTCAGTGGTAGGGTTTAGCGTCCTACTGTTCTGCTCCAACTGGGCTAATGAAGACGGGCATTTTGCCCGGACAGCGACACTACGGCTCACTCTTATATCGAATTCCAACTACCAACGGATCTTTTATGTGCAAGCCAATGTGTACACGGGACCTTGTTTTGTTTTGTTGGGTTTTTTTTGTCCCACCCGAACGACTATACGTTCTCATGGTACTGTAATCATACTATTACTAAACTAATCCATTTTTGTATGACTAGAATTTGACAGGTACTTAATAGCTGACTTTGATCCTGAGAAAATTACAATTTTGCATGCGGTAGGAGCTGATATTGTTTTAAGACTATTCAAAGACAACTTTTCAATTTATATTATGGCACAAAATTATAAGCCTATAGTTTCAGGGAAGTTCAACTCGGTTAACCGAAAAACTCCGAATGCATGAGCCGCTTATATCAATGATCTTGAGTTCTCCGTAATTGCGCGAATAGAATCGCTTCCAGTGGTAACACTAAACGATGTCTAAATTTGTTTGATGTTTATTCTAAACATGTAAAGCCAGATTGAAAAGAAAAGTGTTCTTTACAATAATAGAAATAACATGAAATAGAATAAAAATTGCAAGATTAGAAGCCCCATCTAAGCGAAACAAATCAAAAAGATTAGAATATAGATTGTCTTAGATTAGAAATTTAATGAATAGGAGTTAGACGATAGCACGAAATCTAATATACCGCAATATTATACCACTGCTACCAATTAGTATCATGAAAGCAATATCACACCTTTAATTGAAATATAGACAAAAATCAGATGTTATCGATTCGTCAGGTGAAACTTACCCGACTCAAGCACCTGCTAATAAGTTTCGCACATCACATTTCTTATATATCTTAAATTCTTCATTAACAATAACACAGAACCTGTTGTATTGTTAAAGTAGCTAAGTCTCTAACTCAATATCATCCAAAGTCTTCGACATTGAAAATATTTAAATCAACATTGATGTTGTGATCTTACCGTGAAAAGATGGGCTTTTCATATCCAATATTTAAGACAAAATAAACATTTTACGATTGGTACGCGAATCGTGTACCATGGTGCGTTTCAGCCCATTTTTAACAAGGGACATACAGAACGAGTCTAGACATATTCCACAAGTCATGTCAAACGGTGACGTCATATTCTTATCTGAAAAGCATACGCAATAAATACTATTCGTGTAGACTTGAATGAAGAGTCATTGAGATTGCCATTCGATTAAGTCTTCTAGCGTATTTCGCCGAATATAACTGATTAGAAATTAGAATAAAAACGGGAACGATTGAATGTAAATCAGTTTATATACATTCATATTACATTTTAATATGCGTTGCAACCCATTTGTGTCAATTTCTAGGTCCCAAATATTAACGATTTAGCTCCTATAAAGCAAAAATATAGGATTTGTGCTTTTCTGACATTAAAGGACAAGAAGTACTAATCAATCAGCATCAGTCTATTTTGATTTGATTTATTGTTAACTTGTGATAAATATTTTCTCGAAATAAATAATGCGCGATATACCATTTAGAGACCTAACAGGCGAGGTGCTAACTCTGTAATGTGCCCTTTTCTAAATATAAATTGGTATCTTGTGATAAATAATTTCTTGAAATAAATAATGCGCGATATGCCATTTAGAGACCTAATAGGCGGGGTGCTAACTCTATTTAATGTGCCCTTTTCAGAATATAAATTGCGTAGTACTACATACGAATGTAAATCTATATTAGAACAGATGGTACACTACACACAAATGTCAATACGCGAAATATTGCAATATTAGTCCAGGAAAAAAAAAGAAAGAATATGTCAATATGAGTGACCCGGTTCTCTACGATCATGTAGTTTTGATTAGGACAGAGAAATCACAACCAAAAAGTCCTAACTTCGATCTTCACTATAGTCCCCTTCCTTCCCTACCCCACCCCCTTGTCGCCTTCCCACCTGTCACCACCTCTCCGTCTCCTCTCCGGTCCACTCACCCACTCTCAATATAATTCCCGGGACACCCTTGTCTCGTCGTTTCAATTCTCGATGTGGATCAACATAATCCATCAATTAACAATATCAACAGGCATATAGAACTAAAGCCCAAGAGGTTGACGTCTCATCATTTCAAACGAACTTACAGAAAATGAAATACATAAAATTAAAACAAAACGACTCGAAGATACGTAGTTTCTTAAGTTTTATACAATGTTGGCCTGACATCCACCTTATATTTTAAATTTCTGTGAAAGATTGACCAGTCCGATTGAGCCATGCTCCCCCCCCCCCCCCCACACCCGGAAGCAAAGTTCAAAATGTAAATGTAGTCTAATCAGCATGTAAAGGGTTTACATGTAGAATAACTATTCTGATTTGATCGTAAAAGGTAGAGTACCTCCACTTAAACTTCGTTAAAAGATTGTTTGCATCCCTTTAAGATTTTCAAAATGACTAATTTTATTGGACTATTTCATTTTTCTTTCAACATGCAACTTATTTATGGATTCAAATCTAAGAAATTTTGGGAAATCAAAAGATTTAAAGCAAATTCAGTTTTGTCATCTTTTTTGGAAAATGCATTATTATTATTTAGAAATACAATATAAAGCTACGTATGATAGACAATAAGTACGAATAACAGCCATTGACATCGAACACGAACTTACCTCTACCGATAAAGACCATAAAGGACTACATCAGGTACACATTTCTTTTACCAGAACACGAACCATAACCAATAACTCCTCCAACATTAACAGTGAGTTCCCTGTTTATAAAATGTTCAGTCTTTTGTTAAGCAATTAAAAACATGGAAGTCTCTCTCTGGAAAACGGCAACTGTGTTAACTTGGTCACAAGCCTGTGGAGTCAATAAGTAAGAAACTATATTTGAACATAACCTTTACACTTAATTAAAAGTCGACTACATCATATCCGTTTATAAAACTGGTTTGGAAACAAAAAAGGGAAGAAAAAAAAAACAAATTTGGTCGATAACGAAATGTTACTGTTCAAGAATGTTTTTCTCCTCAAAACAAATCAGCAATCGGTTTACTCTTGAAAAACAATCTTCTGTCTGACAATCAAGAAATCGTTAGTAAGATTGCAATCTCGTTTCGTACCAGTGCTTCAAGCTTTGAACTTGTTGGTAGTTATGAAACATTATATCTGACTAGTTAACTTATTTAGCATCATGTTTCACATGACATGCTTTTTATGTTAAATTATGTATTCTTGCACAGCTATCTTATAATCAAATCTATCCGAAGTATCGAATATTATCCCAATTCCATAAACAAATTGTCAACTAATTTGTAATCTGAACTTCTTCTACGATAACTTCACCAATCGACCAATCCAGTTCGTGAACTATTTACCAAGAAGATGACAATTACACTTTAAAGTGTCTAACAAACTTGTTTTTCTGTACTTATTTTACTAACTCACCCAATCCTCTTCTGTAACTGTTCATTCAAAATCTTTATCGATGCTGCAAACACTTGATAATAGAATTGAGCAAATTATTCTAAAGGTCAAACAATCGCACTGTTTGGCCTTTGCACGAAATGTTGAAAAGTTCTCTAACATAAGTGTTCAACGTGTTATTAATGGATGTCCACTAGATGTTAAAGCCAAATCCTCAAAATTTTACTGTCGGTGTACACAGGCTAAAATCCCAACTCCTACTGAACTTTTCATATGTTATGTCCGATGATGTTAATATAGTGCCGATTATTTCAGTATAAATCTATCATTGGTCAGCTTTGAATACATACTGTGACAGTTGTTGAAATTGACAACCTCGTGGCACGGAAATTAATACCATAAAACGCTCTCATATCAATATATCATCTGGCGGTGTTATCCAAGTCTATATTTCATACTAATAGAAAGCCGGCTTTGTGTTTGAATGAAACACTGACTATGTTTTGTATTGATCCATGAAGAGATATATGTACAAGCAACCGTTATCTATTGATGAATCCACTAGCGTATTTTACACGTGCTCTTATAGTACTTCACACCAACACACCATCACACTCGTTCTTCATTCACTGAAATTTACAATTACCATCCAGGAGAGAGGCTTGCATGGAAGCTAAATAAATAAGATCAGCTATTGATTTTATCTTACTAATGAACTAAAAGACCACACTTTACAATTAGAGTAATAACACATAAGGGGTGGTACACGTGGCAGGATATTCTGGGGTTTCTAACTGCGACATTTATTACTGAGAAAGGCATAACCCATAACCTCTTACCGAGAAATGTATATATTCTGATAGGGGAGTTGTAATTTCTGATTGATTGAGAAATTAAAATTTTCTGATTGATAAATGATTGTATACTGAATAATTTCTGATTGATAAATGATTGTATACTGAATAATTTCTGATTGATAAATGTATAAATTTTTGATAGAGAAATGGATCCTTTTTAATTAAGAATTGAACAATTTTTGATTGAGAATTGAACAATTTTCGATTGAGAATTGAACAATTTTCGATTGAGAATTGAACAATTTTCGATTGAGAATGAACAATTTTTTATTAATGGAGAAATGAACAATTCTTGATGAATTGAGAAATGAACAAATGTTTGATTAATTGATGAAAAATAATTTTTTCATTAATTGATGAAAAATAAATGATTTCCGATTTATTGAGAAATGAATGTTTTAATGCCAGGGCTTGCGGATTGTCGTATGGATTAGAACAAAAGTAAACGAGGTTTACCTATATAAATGAACCCTTGACAGTTGGGTTGCCCACTAGCATTGTCCACGTGTACGTGATCGTAAAGATTAAAATAATTACGCCTTAGTCTCAGCAGGGGCGATGTATTGAGCTACATTTTCTGAAATTCGTGGCCAATTTTATTCAGAACACAAACAAATAACTGTGACAACATTTATAAACATCACGGACGAATACGCCGTGGGTGACAGTATGTTTTGTTGTGTGGCAATCTATGTTTTATTCCTGCGATCACGGTGGCTAAGTGGGTAAGAAGCTGGCTTACTAGCCTGGAGGTCGGGTGTTCTAGAAAGTTCATCCAGATTTTCCGGCGTGGTTTCCCCTTGTCAGTGATGCAGAACGGAGGGCCTGACAAGGACAACTGTCTAGTTGTTCGGATGGGAAGGAAGACGGCGGTCCCGCGTACACATTGGCGTGCACTTTAAAGATCCCCTGTCCGGTCACATTTCCCTCTTAGCACACTGTATGACGTATGCCCGTCTTCATTAGCCCAGTTTAGGAGCAGAACACTAGGACGTTAAACTCCATTCCATTTCATTTCACGTTTTATCCCCCTTCGCATGCTGTTTTACATTTCAATAAGCCCCTGTATCAACAATGACTGCATTTACTATTTGTTAATGAAAGTTTTCTCATTCATTCACAAAATCCTACAATCAACACTCGTGTGTGTGCTGTGAAATGGTTTAACGTCATGCTAGTCTATCGATTATCTAATCTACAGCTCAACATTCAATTTTGTATTCAATTTGAGGTGGCTATGGTTAAATACAAATGTTACAACCAATTTGAGGTGCATATCTTTAAATATTGCGATACAGGGGCCTGTTTCACGAAATTTTGACTAAGATAAAATCCAAATTTTAGTAATTTGATTGGATAATAGTAGATTGATTGTAGTGCTTAGCCAATCAAAATTGAAGTATCTACTAAAATTGGATTTTATCTTTAGTTAAGATTTCGAGAAACAGGACCCAGGGCTGCAACATACGACATTGTCCGTCAAAATACGTTGTTGTTAGGTAAGAGAACTTTGGGCTTTGTTTAAAAATATTGAAAGCATACAGAATGGGGAGTATGATTTTGGCCCTTCAAGATGAAACATGACCATAAATTGTAACCCTGTGCCGGATTTATAACGGATTTGGAATCTGGAAAAAAACATGATTAGAATTACCCAGGAATAATAGATGGATATCTATAGATAGGATCTTAGAATCGAGTTGACTATTATAGGAATCGGCGGGTTTCCAATAGGTGAGCTTACAAAATAATTAACTCGGGTCGACGAGAACGGAGTTTATATGCACTGTGCTGTTGAAATCAGTTTGGGTTTTTGTTGATGTTATTTTGACACGAGCTAGTCTTAAGGTTAATATGAGCTATACCTAATTTTAAGTAGATACAGTCACGACGAATGGACGATAGCAAGTTATTTTGAAGGTCTGTGTTTGCTTTTTTATTGATCGGCGAAAGAAGTAGCCTCAGGTCAGGTTTTTAATTGACCGGTTGTTTTTATTACAAACAATCACTCAATAAAACATCAATATCTAGAGAGGAAGTGTTCCTATCACATACAAATAATCTACTTCAGTTTGTATATGACATGGTTTTGTTAGTATTCTATTAATTAAATAGGTTCCCCCGTGTCTGTTCAGTATAATAACGCTTATAATATTAATATTAGGAAGTCATTTTACTTTTATCTCCATTTTACCTTTCGTTTATATTTGGAGGATTTAATTGTCTTTGATTGCGGGGGAGGGGGGGGAGGGGAAGGGGGCATTTCGAATGGTTAGCACGTCCGCTCTGTATGATAAGGCCTGTCATTGAGTCAATTGGCCTGGTTTCGAATCCCCGGTTGTACGTGACAAGGAAAGGGGTCGCCTGTCCAACCTCGTGGGTTTTCTCCGGGTCCTCCCACTGCAAAGACCCCTATGCGCAAGTGAATTATAAAAATTAAACCATATGTTAGTCCCGAAATGACCTAGTTTGTATCGAATGGACGTTAAACCCCATTTCTCTCTCTCTCTCTCTCTCTTTGATTGCACTATGATATTCGTACATAATTACATTAATGCATACAGCAATTGGAACAACGCTATGAGGGAAATTTTGTCCGGACAGCACTACGAAATTCCAACTGTCAAGGGTTCTTTTACGTGCATGTCAGTTCTCCGCCCAGCACCATTTACAAGGAAGAATCTTGCCGGAAAATCCAGATGATCTTTTTCGGCCAAACACCAGGATCGAACACTGGAAGATACGGTTACGGAGCCAATACATTACTCACTGTGCCACAGCGGCTCCCCACAATTCTTCAAAACAGTATTTTTTCAGATAAAATAAATTGTTTCTATTTTGTAAACAATCCCCGTTTCCTCACTTTATAGGGTCATCCGAACTAAAGGCTTTCCAATTGTGAAGTCCATAAATCGATGTCCCGCCCCCTCACTTCGCTTAAGACATTGCTGAATTGCAGTCCGCCCACATTTCCCCTCTACCGTGATCTTTACATGATAATTTTGTATAACTCACAATTTTTGTTGTAATTTTAAATGTCTCAAAGTTTCTTCTGTCGGTTGAAAGAGGTTCACCGATGAGTTTATGGCGGTACTAAACACAATTACACTTAATAAGCAGATGTCCTCGTAAAATCTGAATAGATAGCTTATCCAGTAGCACTGTTTGTTATATGAAGTAGACTTTGTTTAACTACTTAATCCTTGTCATCGTGTTTTAATTCCAGCAAACTCCCAGATTGCACAAGGGCCAAGGACATACAATAATCAGATTATGTTGTAAAGAGCCTGCTCTATCAACTATGACAAGTGTTGCTTAAGGTTCTCGAAGAATTTGTCTCTTGTCTAATTCGATTATTAGACTGTAATCAATTTATTTCTCCTACTCGTATAGTGAGGAGCTTATATTTATGCCAAGTGTTGTTGAATTAAGATTTTTGATGTTTGTATTAGTGTAAAGATGTTCGTAATGGTGTCTATAAATCCCTAAGCACGTAAATCCGGGTATTTAAGTCTGTTTAAAATACAGATGTGACGTCATCCTTTGATGTTGGCGTACTATTATTTCAAATAATTCTACGAGCAATATGGCAAGCATGCATTATTTATATTGGTGGAAATATTGAACCCGCGTGAAGGTATTTCATTGAAATGCATGTGCTGCATAGTGTCTGTATTTTAAGTTGTTTAATGGTGTCTCACGTAAGACATTGCGTACTATATAGAT